GGCGCTGCAGGTAGGGGCTCCGGCGGCGGGGGGCGCAGGTGCCGCGGGGGACCGGAGCACGAGTGGAACGGCGAGGCGGAGGGGGTGGCGTCCTCCTCCGATCCCTCCCTCCCCCCCGCCGACGCGGCGTGTCCCTTTTTAGGGCATTCTTTTCCCCTTGCTTACTCCATTGCGGGTGGGGCTGGGACAGAGAGGGAGTTCTCCATTTCTCCGGCTTCTGCCCGGGCCCCTGGCAGCCTCCAGCCCCCAAATCTCTTCCCTCGCTCCCAGGCATCTACAGTCGCGTAAACAACTCCCTTGCTCCAGCTCTCGGCTCCGCGGCCCCCGGAGGGCAGCCCCTTCAATCGCGTGAGACCAGTGGGTTCATGGGGGGGGAAAAGGAGGTGGCGTCCCGGAGCCCCTGGTACCCGTCAGCTCCCCCAGTGGTCTCTCCTCCCCCTCGCCCCCGCTGCTAGGGCAGACGGCCCCAGGAGCCCTGGGTATTTTTAGCGTTGTGACCTGGGCTGCAGCTCTAAGAGCCTTTCCCGGGAATCGGCGCCAGCGCCTCCCTTCTCCACTGCCAGCCCGTGGCCACACCAGCTACCTACACTTCCTTTGCCCGCTCGGGGTTGGGTCCCGTGAGCTGCCCCAGAGCCTGTGGAGCTGGTGGGCGTCTGGGATGCGCTGAGTCCAGATGTGGCGGTTCACGGAGGATAACGATCTGGTCCTCACACTAGAAACTCCTGTTGTTGGGTCGTGCAGAACGCCAGGAACGAGATCGAGCGAATGGGAGTGAATGCACGGGGCCTGGGCTGGCCAGAGCTCTTGTGTTCTAGAAAGCTCTCAGCGCTGGTGGTCAGGAGGCCTGGTCTGAATTGGACCGAGGACCCGCCCTTCCAAACGCTGCTTACTGACTAGTAGAGATGTGTCAGAGGAGGGCAGCAAATAAGGATCTGTTGGAGTTCAGAGAAATGGTTGTTCCCCAAATAGGTCACTTTCAGTGCCTTGTGTTCCAGGCACTGAGAATGATTATACCATTTCAGATGGGAACACTGAGGTCAGAAAGATGATTTTCTTAGAGGCAGAGCCACACCTGGAAGTCAGGTCTGTGGCTTCAGAGCAAGAGTTGGAGACGGAAGTGATGGCCTGTGCATGTAGAGAGAAGGGGTGGGGGAGGGATGCTTTCTTTAGCCTGTGGGTTTTGAAGGATGGGGGAAAACCAGAGTTACAGCACTGGAGGAAGAGGATCTTCTACTCCTCTGGCTGTATGGGAACCCTTGCTCCGACCTGCTGAGGGATGTTGGGTCCAGTAAGTGCATAAAGAATCTCTCCCAAATTTTAGGAGAGAGCAGCCCTCCTGTCCTCTCGCAAGCCCTCCAGTCCTCTTGATTTTATAGAAGTTGAGCATGAGGGGGAACTGGGTTATAGATCTCCGAGTCAACTACTGAGATGACCACTAGTTGCCTTCCCTGAATACATTGGGTCTTTGCTGTGCCTGGAACTGGCATCCCCTTTGTGGAGTTGGAGCAAGCCCCGCCTCTGCATAAGTCTTGGTTTGTGGAATGGGCTTTGTTTCAGAGAAGGGGAAAGTGATAGCTAAGGACAGAAGCGTCCAGAACCAGAGGCTGTGCTGCTGGGATGCTGGCAGCGGTGGGGTTCTCTAATCCCAGGCCCCCACTGTCTTCTTACTCAGTCTCACAGCTGTGCTTGTCTCACCCCTTTACCCTCCAGGGGTTGATATGGACCCAAATCCTCGGGCAGCCCTGGAGCGCCAGCAGCTCCGCCTCCGGGAGCGGCAGAAATTCTTCGAGGATATTTTACAGCCAGAGACAGAGTTTGTCTTTCCTCTGTCCCACCTGCATCTTGAGTCCCAGAGACGTAAGTTCCGAGCTCTAAGGAAAAGGATTGGGGTAGGGTAGGGAGGCTATCCTGTGGGTCCTGAATCTGGGGTCACACCCCTTTTGTTGTCTTGACCCGATGAACTTCTAACTTGGGATCTGGCAGGTATCTATCAGCTCCCCCTTGGGCTTCCTCGTTTACCTGCTCTGTCCTCAGCCCCCATAGGTAGTATCTCATCCATGGAAGTGAATGTGGACACGCTGGAGCAAGTAGAACTTATTGACCTTGGGGATCAGGATGGAGCAGATGTGTTCTTGCCTTGTGAAGATCCTCCACCAACCCCCCAGACAGCTGGTATGGCCCTTTGCTTTGGGAACTTGGGCGCTGGTCAGCTACAGCCAGATTTCTAGGCTCTGAAATGAGGCTGCAAGGCTAGGCTGGGGGAATACAATGCAGGGCTGGAAGTGGGTGTTTTCACCAGCCACACTGCTGCCTGTTCTGATTTTTATAGAAGTTGAGCATCAGGGGAACTGGGTTATAGATCTCTGGATCAAAATTCTAGCACAGACCAGCCTCTTTCACCTTTGTAACTTTACATGTGTGAAATTAATGTAATTATTATAATTAAAATAATTATACAATGTAATTTTACATTAGACAACTTAAGCAGTTTTAGTCTTTAATAACTTTAAAGACTTTAATAGTTATGGAGCACTTTTTCTTTTTCTTTTTTTTTTTTTTTTTTTTTTTTTTTTGGTTTTTTTTGGTTTTTCTCCG